TCTAGAGGAAACCACTAGTCAAAAGTCACTGCATGTCTCATTCATATTTTTGTTAGTTTTGGGCCTCTCATATTCTTTCACAAGTGCTTTCTCTCGCCCCGCCCACAAACTGGCATTTACAACATAAATTCTTCACAGCAAATCCAGTTGTTAATCCAACTAGAGTAGTCCTATTGAATTAATGAGACTCTCCGATATTTCACTTAGTTAAGTTCCATTCATTCACAATGGATCCACTTTACCTGGGACTAAGAACAGGATTTAGCTCTAATTCCTAAGGCACCACCTGCAATCAGGTAATGTACATTAAGAGGATTGGTATAAACCAGCATGATTTATTCCAAAGACAGTATTCAGAATTTCTTCATGCTGTGGGGCACCTCGCAGACACAGACTTAATCATGCCACATAACTGCACTAGAACAGATTTGCAGATATTCATTTTAAAGCTATGCTATTTCATATTGAAGTGCATTATCACTCTTTCCAGAAGTACTGGATTTTACTCAGGGCAGTCCACAAATAAGATTCAACATATACATACGCAGCCAGAGAGGACAGGACTGGAAGATGCAACCTGCTACACATGTATTTTAATGTTCTTACTCTCTGAGTACTACACAGTAGGGATGTAAATCTTTGCTTATTTCATTTTCTCCCAAATAGCAATATTTTGCTAGCACTGTTTTGCACAAAAAGTTGAATTTTGTGCAAAATACTTATTTATACGAAATACAAGGTTTTCTACACAAAGCAAAAGATTTCTGCACAAAAAACAATCCCCCTGATCTAGTAGGCAAAAAAGTGCTTGCCTTTTGGCTGTCTTTTTGCAGGAACAAAAAGAATCTCTCACTGACTGGATATTTTATTGACAAGGTATACTAATGGGGGGTGTGCTGAGACATCTTTTTTCTTCTTTGAGGACAAGAAAATATGCGAGTATTCACTAGATCCTTTCTATGCATTCAGAGGATACCACATAAAAAAGAACCAGTCATTGGTTGCAAGATCCAACACACGATAATTCAATCCACACACTGAATGGCACCCAAAATGAAAGGGGAGATATCTGATGCCCTTGAATCAATAGAATTCACAGACAATTCCAATAAGGTGTACATTACAGAATCAATTCTGGTTATATATTATACTGAGTATAAAATATTTTGATAACTCAGATGTAGAATACTGATGCTGACAGTGTGAAATTATTTCCATCTGTAAACATGTCACATTGCAAGTTAGTTTTTCACCACAACCATTACAGACCATTTTTCACAAAATTATGGTCTTTGTCAATAATGTACATCTTCAAAAACCAGCCAATGCTCACATGTCTTCAGACATTTATCTTCTAGGCTTCAAATCAAATTGCTTGCAGCTGTATCCCTCATTCTTAAAAAATGAATTCCCAAGACAGCTGAACTTCTGTAAGCAACTGTGCTGTCCGTGAGATGAGATAATTTAAGAATGAATGCTGGCTTGACCTTTCAGCCACTGCAATGTCACGTGTATTAGGGGCCCTGGCTAGATTTAATGCCACATTTGCAACTACACACATGTACTCATGCTAGTGTTCTATCTACTAGCAAGGTTGAATAAATTCCCAAAAAAACTTGTAAAACATAATCCACTACAGTACTTAAAAAAACAACCCACACTCAAATCTATTTATTTATTATTTATTTATTCCATTTATACCCCGCCTATCTGGTCACTGCGACCATATATATATTTATGATGTCTTCTCTCCATCTTGTAGAATCTTTCTTATTGTGTAAAATTCATTATATATAGGGTAGAACTAGGTGGGAGTAAGCGTTCCGCCAAGTATCGAGGCCCTAAACCATTTGGGGCTTTATACGTAGTTTGTTTGTTTATACGATTAACATAGTAAGCACCAAATGGACCTGCATATATGCCTATGTTTTTCCTAGATTGCTAAAGAAAGGCCAGTAATATTTACTGGAGAAAAGAAATTACACAGTAGTAGTACCCTCTAATTTTCAGCCCGACTGGGCAGGGCTCTGCCTCTCACATGCACAACTTCGTCCCTGCATGTGCACAAAACTCTACTCCCCCCCCCCCCAATATTAAGGGTTCCATCAGGACAGAAACCTAAGGGGTTGAACGCGATTGCTATTCGGAGGAGGAAGAAAAACTGCATGGAGGGAGGCCGGGAGGCCTGCGAATGTGCACCACATTTAAAGGAAACCTTGTAGGCTTGTGTCCTCTGTACTGACAGAAGACCCTTTGACTAGGCAGCAAAGATATCCACGAGCAAAAAGGTTTGTGGAAGTGTGATTTTCATTGGTTAGCCCTTTCCCTGCCTAGGCTATAGTTCCACAGGAAGAGAGTAGTTTCGAGTATCTTGGCTGCAAATCCAGTTACCTTGGATTGAAACAAACTCACTTTACAGCTTTGGCCTGTCTCAGTATGATTCCTGATGAAGCTTTAATCCCATGAACACTCTGCCTCATTCTTTAATTTTTACAGGGGCTTCCCATTACATTATTCTCCACTCCCAATCCTCCCTTGTTTTCTCACTTCTTCTGTCCTTTTTTTCCTGAGGAAAATCCATTAAGTGGGAGTGAGGGCAGGGAGCACACAGCTTTCCAATTACTAACATGAGGAATCTTCCTTCTAAAAATGTCCTCAGGAGATCTGATATCAATGCTGGGCAAGATGGGTGCTGATATGGAATACACAGAGGAACTGAATGAATGGGAAGCAGTAGTAAAGAAATTTGGGCATTTGAGGTTATGATATAAGGAAGGCTTCTCTAGCTTGAGTCTTCATGAAAAAGCGATCTGATAAGTTAAAAGAGAGGAATGACCATGAAGTTTGAGAATAGCTCTCACAGTGGTTTCCAGCTGATACAAGACATGAGGATCACTATACCTTATAGTAGTTCCCTGTAGTCGGTCGATTTTCTTGTTTAGCTCTGCAATGATGCTATGGAGTTCTGTGATTCGTTCTTCATAGCGAAGTGTCGTCCGCTCTTGCATATCTTCATGCTCTCTCATAAGGTGAGACTGTTCACACTAAAACACAATAGAGTAAAAACACTTAAGAGGAACAACATGGGCATTGCAGTAGGCAATATGGAAAAAAGATTCAAAACAATCTTGCATATTCTCTCACCTTCTAAATTCTATGAAATCTAATTAGATTTGAGTAAGAATTTTTTTAAACTACATGAAGAAGTAATTCACTAATTTCAAGAGATTTAAACATGAGAATGCAATTCACAGTAACACTGCTTTTGTGTGGTACCCTTCCCTCAATCTATCTCAATGGAATTTCCATAAACAGACAAACAAAAAATATAGCCCTCCACAGAAACAATGACACACATTATGCACACTGACACTACAGAAATAACATTGTCTCATTACATTAGTACAGTTTAAGAATACAGATTTCAACATGTCATTTTTTTAAAAAATGCAGTTATCTAAGATTTTCAGTGTGCTATGAGAACAATGATCTAATTGTACTTTCCAGAATAGGTCTGAGTAATTCTCACAACCTGTGGGAAGAACATGGGACTCTCCTGGCCTAACTTTTTCTAATAAACAATTATCCTAAATTTATTATTATTGTACTTTCTCTAATACTCCATTATGCAGCTTAACAACTTAAGGTTGCAACTGCTTTCATTCTCTGTATACTATCTTGTTCTAAAAATGTGCTGAAAGAACTACATGTCCCTGGCAGAATAAAAACATTGCCCCATTGACTGAGGTGACTATGAAATCGGTCATGCTTAACTCCCCTGTTCTCTCCTGCAGTCTGTAAATAGTATCAACTGCCTCTGATTTACATTTGTTTTGCACCAATTAATTAAAATGACTGAAGAATCTGTTAAAATAAATTTTTACAATCTAGTGCTTATAAATTCTTTCACTCAACCACTTTTACTTCCCCACAATGAAGATCATATAAGGGTGATTCTTTCACTAAACCACTTTTACTTCCCCAGAGTGAAGATCATATAAGGATGGAAATGAGAGTAGTGTTGACCACAAAGCCAGTATTTACAGTTCACATTAATTCCCCAATCCAAATTATACTCTTAAAATGCATGTTATTAAGGAGGAATAGCTTTATTTTACCCTTCTTCCTCTGTTTTCAAGGGAGCAAGTGAATGGGGAAGGGGAGTGGAATGAAGAGTTGCTGGCTAATATCCCCACCCTTTTTGTCTTTACTTCTACAAAGAACTGAAGAGGGATGATTTCAGAGCTGCTGAATTCTGGAGAACGCTAAGTATTACCCCCTCCCCGATGGAAGGGAAACATCTTGAAAATAAAGACCAGCCATTACTTTTAAATGGTGAACCTCATTTGTCTAAAATAAATTAAACCTTTTCTTTGCACAGGCCTTGATTCTTAAGAGTAGTTCAGAGACTATGGGTACAACTAGATGGGAATTTGTCCCACAGTCTGATCTACTCTGGAAAAGGGCCATGTTGCTCCGTTTCCTGACAACCACATGGCATACAGGCCATCACAAATCATCGTCCCTGTTCCATGTCTACCTCCACTTTTTTGGCTCCCTGTCAAGGGTAAGTGGTATTTTTTTAATGTGGGTAAGATTGCTCCATTTTGGTTCTGTTATAGCATGTGTGATCACTTGGATTAAACTAAAGTTGATTGCTTACCCTGTCCTTTTGCTTAAGCTGCTTCACAGTCTTGGGAAACTGAAATATGTAATATGCCACTTAGAAAAAAACTGAAAACTTCCTCTCTGCCCCCTTCCACAGGGGAATGGGAGGAAGCTTTTCATTTTCCAAGGTACTGAAGCCGCTTATGCGAAGCACTGAGGTGGAGACAGATGACAAGGTAGGGTTTTCCTTCCTTTTGGAAAGGTGTGCTGTGGTTGATCCTTGCACATGGAAGCAAGGATCACCCCAAATGAAATATCACATCTCAGAGAGGCCCTAGCTTGATTCAGGCCCGGATAATTTGGTCATCTAGTCACACCCTACATTCACCTTACACTTCTTCTCTGTGTAAGTGTCGGGATCTGCAAGATGAAGGAAAGTAGGGGTCTTGCAGATGAAGCCTCAGGGCAGGGATCTTTCTCCTCAACCAGCAAGGAGAAAGGAAAAGACGGGACACTCGAGTGTGGTTTTCAGGGTGGGATCCGGATGAATACAGAACAGCCTGCCGTGAGGCACCTGTTCAGTGGGAGTTCTCTTTCCCGATCCGGCCTCCCCTCAGTTTATTGTATCCCCTACCTTTGAACAAGTTAATCAATACAGAGGTAACTAATTTCTTGAATACACAACAGAATAACCAGAGTTAGAGACAGCTAATTTCCTTGAATACACAGGCATCAGTAAACAGAGTGGTTGGTAAACAGACAGGCTGGTAAACAGGCACAGATACCATCCAAATACACAGACAAGTTCCTGAATACACGAACACTTTAACTACATTATCCAGAGACAATAGACAGCAGGTTAATGATCATCCTTACTGGAAACTAGTGACTTGCAATTTTAGCATGAGGCCTGCCATTGTCATAGATATACATTTGCTACTGCCACAGACATATACATTGTAACAGCATAACAGCATAAATTTTCCCCACATGTAAGTAATAGTTAAATGTCAGATAAAAATCGGGCAGGTAGAGTTTCCATCAGCATTTTGAAAGGGGAACCACACCAGTTTAACTTCAGGCTGTTCCACAGCTGACACACAAATAAGTGCTGAGTCTATCTTCTAATGCTATGTAAAGATGCACCTACTGCATTTCTGTCTTTTCTTCATATGAAGAAAGCTTCAGATCATCATTAAGGAACGGCAGTACATTATCAGGTTCATATACGTTGTCAGGTATATGGTTGGAAGGTGGTAGAAGTCAAACAGGATAACTGAGGCCTAGCAGTTTTGAGATGAAATGATGAAAGCAATATGATGAAGGTAGCCACTCTTGGATAGTTGAGTCTTTGTTTTATTACTGCCCATTTTCTATGTATTATATTCAAATATTAGGGCAAAACCTGTACCATTTCATTTCATATGGCAACCTAAAATACTTTTATGAAACACCAACCTCAGATCTACCTTTTAGAGGCCACAGTATGGCCTCAGGATGAATTCCAACGCTGCTGGGCAGGTAAGAGAAAGGAAAGGCTGAGATCTACATTAGAGGTATTTTTGCAAATGGAGGACAAAGCAAAATAGAATATATTTATTTCCAGGCAAGACATAGACAGAATTATTTCCTGAGACAGGGATAGGAAAGACTCATTATGTGTACAGAAATCCAGGTTCATTGAATCTACTATGAAGGAAAAGTCCTGGGAAATCTCACAGCAAAAAAAATATTATGATGCAAGAGTTATGATGAAAAAAATATTTTATGATAAAAGACAGAAACAATGTCAGCCCTGGCATAGTGATACAACAAATAGAATTATTGTGATGTAAAAACCTGCATGAACATAACAGATAACTGACTGTATTACTGTAGCAAACGACAAGACCTACGGTAACCTTAAAAGCAGAGCAATTGTAACATTTTCCCTGTAGAATGAGAATGCATCATGGGAACAACATTGCGTTTTTGAGGGATTAAAGCTCCCTAGTAAGGCAAGATAGTACAAGTCATTCCATAATTCATGTAACTCATCAAACTATCTAACAGCTTCTAGAGTTCACATGGCATGACATTTTAAGTCAAGGAGGAGTGAACAGGCAATTCATTATGTTGTTATCTTAAAGCTTACGGTAAGAACCACCCAAAGTCAAACACAGGCTTGTTCTTCCCTCTTGACAGCTCATCTGACGTAATGCTTGAATTTATCAGTGTGCAGATGAGAATGATTAAAAACCTGACATGTGGATAATCTCCAGGTATCTGATGAGCACAGCTGTGAGAGGGAGAGAGCATATGCCATATTTATTTCAGGCAAGACATAGACAGAATTATTTCCTGAGACAGGGATAGGAAAGACTCATTATGTGTACAGAAATCCAGGTTCATTGAATCTACTATGAAGGAAAAGTCCTGGGAAATCTCACAGCAAAAAAAATATATTATGATGCAAGAGTTATGATGGAAAAAAATATTTTATGATAAAAGACAGAAACAATGTCAGCCCTGGCATAGTGATACAACAAATAGAATTATTGTGATGTAAAAACCTGCATGAACATAACAGATAACTGACTGTATTACTGTAGCAAACGACAAGACCTACGGTAACCTTAAAAGCAGAGCAATTGTAACATTTTCCCTGTAGAATGAGAATGCATCATGGGAACAACATTGCGTTTTTGAGGGATTAAAGCTCCCTAGTAAGGCAAGATAGTACAAGTCATTCCATAATTCATGTAACTCATCAAACTATCTAACAGCTTCTAGAGTTCACATGGCATGACATTTTAAGTCAAGGAGGAGTGAACAGGCAATTCATTATGTTGTTATCTTAAAGCTTACGGTAAGAACCACCCAAAGTCAAACACAGGCTTGTTCTTCCCTCTTGACAGCTCATCTGACGTAATGCTTGAATTTATCAGTGTGCAGATGAGAATGATTAAAAACCTGACATGTGGATAATCTCCAGGTATCTGATGAGCACAGCTGTGAGAGGGAGAGAGCATATGCCATGATTTCAAGGCAAAGCCACCACCAAACTGAAATAATACGTCAGTTTCTAACTCAGGTTAGATAATCACTTAATCTTATACATGTCTGCTCAGAGGTTAGCCCCACTGGAGGCCAAGGGAACTTATTTCAGGTAAATGTGTACAGCTAAATCATTTTAAGAAGCTATATTCTCACCCTTGTGTCCGAGCAGTGATTTTCTCATATTCTAACCCACCAACAGTGTTGGTGAATTGACAAACTTTCTTCCTAATACATGAAAATAAGACGCTGTAGCAATACATTGAAGATGAAAAATTACATTGCTCATCTTCTATTCCATCACAGTAGTAATAGTCTCAACTACGGATGTTGGCAAGTCTTTCGACCCAAGTCCCAAGTCTGAGCCTGAGTCTTTTGTACTGAGTCTCAAGTCCCAGGC